TCCCTTCCAACCCCAAATATTCTGTGATTATGTGTGATTTTGTGAAAGATTTAAAATACAGTTTAAAAACCGGTAACCTGAATAACTGAGAAATAAAACTGATGCTTTCAGTTATGAAAACAATTAATTCTTGCCAGAAGTTTCCTGAAAAAAATCTGATGTGTTAGATTAGAAAGATTATGTTTTTTAAATATCAATAGAATCAAATCAATTAATTATGCTGATCCACCTCAGCTGAGGATTCAGCTCATGTGCTATCACACTAATGTGCTTAGGTTTTATTTTAAGCAGAGCTGGAAAACATGAAGTTCTGAAGCAGAAGCGCTTAACAGAGGTCTTCAGTTACATCATATGGCTGGAGCAATCTAGTGTTTCTTACTGCCAACTCAGGGGACTCCAAACTGAGAATGAAATCTGCATGAAGGGATAAGGATTTCTCTTCATTAGAGAACACAATCACTACACATAATTTTCTAATACACAGTGAAATGTCAATAAGCAATAAAACTGGCAAACAAGAAGGTAGTGTGTTTTTCTCTCCCCCATCAAAAAAGCAAAATTTTTTGCAAGCAACTAACAGATATGGGGCCTTTTAAAATTTTTATTTATTTACACATTTACTCTCCACTTTTTAGTTAGTCTTAAACTACCGTTGTTTACAGAGAGCAGCATCTCAAAGGGATGAATCAAAGCTTAAGGCTGAACCATGCTCATGATTTGCACTCAAAGTCAGGCAGGGATTTGGAAAAAAAAAAAAGAAAGAAAACCCAACATATTTCATCAGAGCCATAGCAAATCTAATTCTGTCTTATAAATAAAACAACAAAATAAAGATGACACACAACCCAAAAATACTTAAAGAGCTTAATGTCACTGACGTTCAGGGCAGTGTGGAAGCCTGCAGTATTCTTCAAAACATTTTTTAAAGAAAGTGACCATGAAAACGCATCAAATAACTTTTGCGGGATTTTCTTCTGCATATATATACACGTATATAAGTATTTCCTTAAGAGACAGTCATCAGCAACAAAACAGACATGAGAAAGACACAGATTTGTAGAAACCTGTAAAAACACAACTGAGTTCCCAATGAAAAGCAAATTTTGAAACAAAATGGTCATGATACATAAGTCTAAGGCTTATTTTAGGACAGTATTTTAAAAGAATTCTTCAGGGAAAAAAGTCCTTTTTGGATAATGTCAAGACAGTGTCTTTCTCAGGTAATTCTTCAATAAGTATTACAAATAAGCTTGTACATCCTGAATTAAAGATAAAAGTAGTCAATACATACCAGCTTTGTATGATATGGTGTTTGTTTTTGCCACAGACTTCTTGTAACACAAATATACCGCTGAACCCCACTGCAAAGCAAAAGAAATCATTGGATTACGTGAGGAAACATAACAGAGTGACGTAACAGAGAAGGGGAGGAAAACCTCCTCTTCCTTGTTTGCAACGAAGCCTAACTTACACACAAACCCACAGAGCATTAAGAGACAGGAATTCTGGCCCTGCTGCACTATCCTCTCTGACAAGGGCCACAAACTCAGAACTGACAGAGAAGTCCAGTGTCAGCTCTCAGCCAACCAGTCCACGGCAGGCCTCTCAACCAGAACCCGTTTAGAGAGTGGAGCATGACATCTGTAAGTTCTCTCCAAAACATCTGTTATCACACCTACAAAGTTTTAAGTACAATTGCCATCATATAAATATTTAATCCTTTCTTCCATTTGGTTAAACTTCTGGCTTACGTGTGTCTACAGCCAGATATACAGCCACGCATTTCTGTATATATACCCAGAGTGCAACATTTCCTTCTTAACTACATCCGTTTATCACTTTAAGATAATACTTAACAATTTTCTTTTTATTTTTATCACGCCAATCTTCAAGCCTGATTCCTTATTCCATCTGCACTTTCAGAGTCTGTGACACACTGCAACGAAACACCACAGGTTTTAAAGCTTCTAAACACCAATTTCCTTTCTGGCACTGGTTTTGAAGTTCTCCATTTCTGGACATGAGTATAAAGGACATGGAAAGCCACAGAATGGAGAAGACCAGCACCCTGTAAAGGCAAAGCTTTTATGGATGAGAAAAAGATATAATAACTGCTATAAGACAGCACTCCCAGAATCCTGTCAATACAGGGACTGGTGGAACTGAAAAAAAATCCTTTTTTTAACATCTACTGGCATTTACTTAAAACAAATACAGATCAATTTCCATCACCTTTTCTGCATGATGCTACTTGCACATGTGGTCAGCATCCTCATCAGCATGCTGACTTTCGAGGACCCCACAAGAGCCAGCATTTAGGGCTACGACTCAACCAGGAGCCACCTACATACTGAAGTTCTGCAAAACAAAGTGCTGTGACACCTGGGAGTTTAGCAGGGCTACCTTTGGAACCTTATCAAACATTTAAATAGGCGTAGAGCCAACAGCATCCATCATTGCTCCCAAGTAACTTTCTGCAGTGAAAAAGTTTGTGAAACTACTGAGGAGAATCACACCTGTAAAACAGCATGGGAGGTAACAGGAGAATTTAAAAACAAAACAGAAGCTGGTCATCACATAAAGAATTCCCATCACAACAATAAAAGCACTGTCAGAAACAGCCATGTCCAGTTACACACACGGTGATGCAACAGGTTCTTAAGAACTAATCCAAGTTAATTCCAAGTCAGCACTAAAAAGACTCCACGACTTCCAAAATGTCTTTGTTCCAAGCAGGAACAAAGAAACATAATCCTCCAGATCTTCCAAGATTTGATTCATCTTTGGGGAGTCCTTATCAACACTCTTCACCAAGTACTCTGAGAACTATCACAAATACTCCGCCAACATTACATCATTGAATATAGTGTTCAAAATCCAGGTTTTTTTGCATCTTACCATACTATTATTAAGATTCTTGTCAACCTTGCAGAACGTATGTGGAGGGGTTTCTCCTTTACTCGGTATGATTATACATATATCCGTAACAGCCAACGTGTTCTGCGTCATGTTTTCGGATGCTCTTCGGTAAGTGATGTACACTCGTTGTGATGAGGCGCTGCCACTAATATTAGCGGGCCGACCGTACGGAGTTGTCTGAATTATTTCACAACCTTGCTTTACTCTTTCTTTCCCATCATACAAAACCCTAGTTAAAATGGGATGAACAAAAGTCAGAAGGTGCATATTTTTTGAAAACACTTTGAATACTAATACTACGCTAAGAATTATAACTGCATAGTACTAATTTAAGAGTAGCTTGTCTCCTTCTCTGATCAAAACATTTTTACTGACAAGTTGAGGTCATATTACATCAAATCGCATTCTACCAGAAAAGCTTCGTGACGAAACTATACTACTTTTCCTCATGTATAATTGTCTTTAAGTGTGTTGTTTACTGCAAAATAGCGTTATTTTCAATTCTATCAAAGATTCATTGCCTGATTCTAAGAACATCACCCACTCGCCTCTTTTCAATCTGTATTAAATAGGTCAAGCATCTTATCTAAACCTAAATATATACATTGATAATTATAAATGACTTTAAAAACTCCTAAATGCAAAGGATTATATTTATCAGGGAAATCCACTCAGCAGGCACTCCACCTACCACACCAGGTTACAGTATGCTCAAGTCGACAAATATCTTCCTGTTTAGTTTTACATTGTATTAAAGAAGTATGGTACTTCAACAAACCTGATTTATTGGCTCATTAGTCAAAATAAAATTGCCAACATCACCTACCGGAGCAGAAAAAACACTCACCCCAAATCAGTTAGTGGGGGCTTATCCCTTCCTCGGCGATAACAAAGGTATATTTGCGGCCCTACAAGACTGCCATTATTGAGATCTGCAGATAGTCCTGAGGGAGTAACATCTATGCATTTATATCCCCGAGGAACTTCCTCCCCCAGAGATTTATTAAGTACTGTTACATCTGTAATAGGTTCTTTTGGTTTAGCAATTTTATGGCAAGCATCATTGAAGTGGATTTCTTCCTCCAGTGGTTTTGCAATATCTGTCAATCCTGCGACAACGAAGTAGTCAGCAACACGAGCCCCTTTGTCTTCCATCTTCCATTACAAGACGTTATAACTGGTAGAACAAAATACACATCAGTATTTCTAAATGCAATTACAAGATATTAGAAATAATAAAGTTATGTTCATTTTTAAAAACAGAAAACTAGCAATAATATAAATGAAAACACCATAGAAGAATACACAACACAGACATCCATCATCGGACCATGTAACATTTTTCATACGAAATCATGACCAATTCGGAACTGTGAGCCACAATCGCGTGAGTTAATTGTTAAATCTTGGAATGGAAAACCCAAGTGGCCTCTTTTTGTTAACTTAGATATTAGAGTAGCTGAACCAACAGTACCAGCAAAATACTGTGCAAAGTTCTGCAGATAGCTCGCTAAAAGCTCACGGCTGCGCCAAAAAGCAGTTCGTGTGTATTTTGCACAGTCTCACTGCACGCCGTTCACCATGACAATGGGACTTCTACGACATAATCTGAAATTAATTTGCTTCTTGAACATTAAGCATATACGCAAAGGCTCTCCTGATTATTCTAAAGATACAGCTATAATATTCAGAGCCATTTCATCCTATAAGATTTTACATCAGATACCAAGGCCAGATCTTGCAGTATTTTTGCAGGCTGAAAGTTAACACCATTTCATAGTGGTTTGGGGCTCAGATCCTTGATTTGCAGCCCATCCATAGCCAGCAATATGCCGGCTTTTATCCAAAACATTAAAACTGAGTCAACTTCAATGGACTACAGACCACTGTGAAACAAAAACATTCAAGACCACATGAGGTTTCTTGTAATGAAAAGGAATATAGCCTTTCTGTTCCAGCCAAATTGTCCTGGGAAATGGCACTCTTTCTCCCTAGAATATATTGATAAAAAAATATATTTACATAGGAATTCTTTCTGTATAGTGGTGCTTTGGGGATTTTTTTCCTCCGCCTTTGCTACCAATGTTGTAGAATTAACTCCAGCACAAGACAAAGTACTACCTGTAGGATGAAAGGATGGCCTTGCAAACAATGCAGTGGACTACACATCAGGGGATTCAATTTCCTCTTTGTCAGAGACTCCTGAATAACTTTGCAAGTCAATTAAACGCTATGTCTTAATAGTTTTATTTTGCAAATAAAGAAAACACTTTTCACTCTTTCACGGAACACTCAGAAATGGGCTAAAAACGTTTATCTAAGTCACCCATATGCTGGAACCTCGCTAACGTAGCTTCAGGAAGTTTACTGTCATCCAGTTCCAGACGTTTTAAACCAGACAAGCTATTTAAGACTCCTTTTTGTTGAGCTAACTTTGTCTGGGTGTAAAATTTTACTGCAAGCGAAACTGTTACAACATGAGGGTGTCAAGAGCTTGCTAACATTCAGAAACTCAACAAACAATTTACAATAGTTTGAACGGCTGGTACAAGACTTGGGTATTCACGCCACCTCTATACCAGCTGCTTTAGCTCCCTTTATTCTTTGCTCTGGGTAGCAAGTATTAAGCCTTATCAAGCTTCATACTTTCATTACCCTTGGATATTACCAAATCTTCACTAAAACAAGCAAAGTAAGTTTGGACGCCTCTCACTGGCAATTAGGAAATTATGTCCCAGGTTGATACAGCACATTTAATCAAACTGATTTAAGTTGATGTCAGATTTCCAGCACTGGTCCCTGCTCAAGAAGAAAGTCAGCCTGTGCCTGATCACTGCTATGAACCTCCTCCACCAGTGCAAGAAAGGTAATTCCATCTTCCAGCTCCGATTTTGTAGGTTGGTTATGACTGACTTGACTAGCTTCTAAAGCCACACAAAAACAACACTTTTTATATTAAGGTTATTTCTGTTATTCAAGAAAACGCCAAGAAAATACCCCAAATTATCCAACCTCTATTTCATTCTGCATGGTTAATAAGCAATGTGGGACACTTTAGAACACATAATTACTAGGAATCATTAACATATAGCAGTGTAACAGTTTGTAAGTAACTGTTTAGCTTGTTTTCTGAGAAAAGAGAGAATGCAGCTACAAAACTAAGCTTAGTTTAACCTAAATTCAGTTATTCCAAAAACATCTGGAATATGTTACTCAGCAGCATGAGAGTAATAACTAAAACCTCAAACTTCTCCTGAAGTGATATATCCAAAGAGACACAAATTCAACCACTGCATATGCTGACTATTATTTCCACTGTAGATTTGGCTTCATCAAATCCACCATAGGCTAGCGACAAACGCAAGGAGGAAAAAAGAAGTTTCATGCAACGCCTTTAAATGTTAACAAGAGACCAACACACCAACATGACCAAAGCTCTAAATATTTTGTAGCATTAACAACTCTCTGCAAAACTCAACTACCATATGCTACATTTTAACTATCATGAAAAGTTTATCAACCAACGCTCATCACTCTAGACCAATGGATAAGCTGCAAGAGGTTTTTTTTAAGCTACAATATACTGAACAAGCATTTGCTTTTAAGTTTAAAAAACCCACAAACAAAAAAAAGCATCAGAGTATATGCAGTTGCTTTTAAAAAGTATCGTTTGAAAATGCATCAAGAAATGTAGAAAGAAAAAACTGAATGCTTCATAACATAGATGTGAAGAGCTGAGCTCAAAGACTGCTCAGAAGCCAGAGGAAGTTTTTCTTATATAGATATATAGAGAGAGAGATATATATATACAGAAACAATATGTATATACTTACAAACACATCTACATATATATAAAAACATATCTACATTATATATATCTACATAGATATAGATGTAGATATATATATAAATAAATGCCAAAATATTCCTTAAGAACGGCTGAGGAAGAAAGGGTGGCCCAAGTAAAACTACCAAGCAAGTTAAACTCAATGCTTACCCTATTAAAAGGTCTCATGAAAAAAGTTTTCCATGAAAAGACTTGAGGAGAAGAATGAAAGCTGGTCAAGTCTTACGCTGTTGTGCATGAAAAATGCCCCTTAACCACAGGCTCAGCACAAAGCAGCAGAAATGCTACAAAACTGAACTTGGCCTTAAGGATTCTGAGTTAGAAAAAGTTTTGGTTTGTTCCTTTTCTCGTTAGCATTATTTCACAGAACTACACCAGTTTTGGAGCGCTTCACAATGCCTTTTAAGCTGAAAAGAAAATAATACTTTAGTAAGAAAACTTTATACAAACTATCACTGTTAAAATTGCAACTAAGTCTTAATAGCATCAATGTATTAGCCAAGACAAAATTACAAATAAACAGAAAGATGTATATATAGGCATTATACCTATCTTCAAATTTATTATAGATTATTTCATATTAAGTTTATATCAAAAGTCTTAAATTCAAACATCTGTTTATTCTCAAAAGCACTTTCAGGAAAAACTGGGACAAGCTCTCCTCATTTAGAGCCAGTTAAAATTAGAATCCCCTACATACAAACACCTGCTATCACACAACTTTACTTCCTAAGGTTATAGCAAGCAATACACAACTCAGCAACATTTTCATAATTTAATGCAGCTTTTACAGAAGGGAAGAAAAAAAGGCCAAGATGATGATGCATCAATCCCTTCAGATCTTTGCCTTCCGATATGAAGGCTTGCAGCTAAAAATGGGATAAAATGCAGAAGACATCAAAACAATTCAGTGGTGTTTTATTCAAGTTGACTCAGACTTTACTAGAGCTACTGTGATACGCAAATTTTCAACATCTGTTCACTGCGAGCGCAGGTTTGTGCACACTTCATGTGAACAGACCCCAGGAAGAAGGTACACAATGTGAGCTAATTCAGTGACATGTAATCACTGCGCGAAAAGCCATTTCACACAAAGTAACGAACCTGATTAATTTCTGTAGAAACTCAGCACGAAGGTATTGCAAAACATGAATTATAATTCTATACATTGGGTAGTACTGCAAGACAACTTCCAGGAAAACAAACAAATGAACAACACAACCAAAACTAAGTCACGCTGCACAAGGGTGTTGCTTGAAGCAGCAGGTCCCAGGTGAAATTCAACATGAACCAAGAAGCAGCTCCTATTGCTTCTCTACACCTCAGTCACCTGGGGATGAAAGGCTGCACTTTGAAGACAATGCCACTGGATCATAAACATCACCTCCTACAGAAGACCCTGGAAACAAGTGCAACATATAGTTTCTGATCCATCTCATGACAATTAATTTTAAAGGACTGCATATAATTAATACCACTACACATTAAGCACCAGAAACAACAGTAAGAAACAAAATACCCTTGTGAATAGCTGACCAGTAAGAACATACTAAAAACACACACAAACTTTACAGGTCATGACTATATAGAAGTGGGAGAAAAGAGGGCTTTCTGCCATTTCACAAAATGTAGGAACAGCAGAAACAATCAAACGGTCAAGCCACAGATGCAGAAACTACTGGCTCAACTATTTTGCTGAAGCATAAAGGGTAAACTCAGTTTTGTTGTTTATTCAATTTTTTAGTATCATCATATTTCTTCATAAACATTTAGAAGATATTAATTAATAGTTTTCGTTGTCTGTCACCACTGTTGTAATTCATAGATGCTGGCATTTTAGCAACTGTGCAACAGAGATTAATCTGAAAAGTTAGCTCTGTGATCTAATAGATCTATTGCTGGTGTTAAAAGAGAACCAGTGTGCTGCAAAGTGCAAAACAATCTGCTGTTACAGGAAAGATGACCAGGAGGTTCACAGGAGTTCCATGTGGCTGACCCTTTTGTGATAAATAAAATGCTGGTGGGACTTTGATCTCACCACTGAATTCAGAAAGAACAGCACACAGGCTACCTTATTTTGCTTCCAACAAAGTTTTTTCTCTATTTGTTATAAGCTGTCATCAACTCTCATATAGAAAGCAAATAAAAATCACAAGGCATGATTTTATACCAGCTCATATATTTTCAAAACAACTCAATCAGTGTCCAAGCTTTTTGAACAAATCAAATTTTTCATTCAAATACTGTAAGAGAGAAGTACACATCAGCTTTTTTTCCTCACCACATGACCAGAACTAACATGAATGTGCCATATACTCCATCTGTG